TCGAAAACTGCAGCACATGGTCGAGGAGATACTGACCAAGAATATGCACTTGCAGGCGAACCTGGAAGAGCTGAGCAATCAGCTGATGGAAGCCAAAGGACGGTTGAAAAAGTATGAGCCTGAAAGTCCTGTCACAACAAGCAAAAACTAACAAAACTAAACGCTAAAACTTTTTTATTTATTTTTTTTGTTAAACTTGTGCAATGTCACTTCTAAATTTTTTCGCATTTTTTATATCGCATTGCAATTAAAACAAAACAGTGCATTTAACAAAAACTAATGTGATTTATTGATTAATGTTGGATAAAGTTCAAGGTTTTTGACAGTTTGATTTTAATATTTAGTGGTTTTTGCATCACGGTTGACTCATCAACTTTACATCAGCAAAGGCGTAAAGATCGTAACTGGAGTTTTGATGTTTTCCAGTTTGTGGGTGTGTGTTTTGTGTTTTTAAACATGTGTGTATAAGGAAAAAAGCGGAAAGGAATAATAGGATAATAAACATTGGTCTGAAAGTGAGAGAGAAAAAGGACAAATCAAATTGCATTCTCAAATTCTGTTAATCATTCAGTGGTGTTGAAACAAAACGACAGTGTGTATGTGTGATATAAAATGTATAGAATTTGATAGGAAAAGAGAGAAAGAGATAAATCCTCGAGATATGACAAACGAGGATAAGAATGTGTGTGTGTGTTTGGGTGAAAGAAAGGGGGAATACAAATATACTTGAAGTTGTAGAAAAAGAGCAAAACTCAACTTTAGCTCAAATCTGTTCTGATCAGTTTTGATCACGGGTGTGTGTGTGGATGTGTGTGTGTTTCAATAATAAACTTTATCCATCTTTAATCATCACCTTTTTACTGATGCTCAGTTGGCGGGGGCTGCTGCTGCTGCTGCTGCTGGGGCATTGGCCCGCTCATGTACGGATTGGCGGGGTAGTTGCGCATTCGCGGCGGCATTCCAAAGGAGTGGATNGGATCGCCCCGCCAGTAGGTGGTCCACTGGGCGGTCCTCCCATGGGCGGCGGCGGAGCTCCGAAGGGCGGTCGAGGGGGACCCTGCTGTTGCTGCAGCTGGGAACACATCATAGAATGTGGCATGTAGCCAACAGGACCACCACCTTGCGGCGGTGGTCCTCCGCCTGGCATCATCATACCCGGCGGTGGGCCTTGCGGTGGGCCCTGAGGAGGACCCTGTGGTGGAAGGCCTCCGTGAGGAGTTCGAGACATGGGACCGGGAGTTGAGGCGGTCGACTCGCCGCCGCCGCCGGAAACTACCGATCCAGGGCCACTTGGTGGACCACCCATCGGGTGGCCACCGAGCGGCGGTCCTTGAGGTGGCCCCTGAGGTGGCGGTCCACCGTACTGGCTAGTGGGCGGTGGCGGCGGCATTCCGCCAAATTGCTGGCCACCTCCAGGCTGAAAGGAGCCCGGTGGACCGGAAAGAGAGACCGGTGCAAACTGCTGCTGCTGCTGCTGCGATTGCGGTGGACCGAATTGCTGAGGCGGCTGTTGCTGCTTCTGAGGCGACTGTGGCCCGCCAGGAGGCAGCGAGTACATCGACGGCGGTCCTGACGGTGGGCCTCGAGGAGGACCCTGCTGCTGCTGCTGGGGCGGCGATGGTCCCTGGTTGAAGGGGGCGCCCNGACTGTGGCCCGCCAGGAGGCAGCGAGTACATCGACGGCGGTCCGGAGGGTGGGCCTCGAGGGGGACCCTGCTGCTGCTGCTGCTGCTGCTGGGGAGGCGGTGGTCCCTGGTTGAAGGGGGCGCCTGGCGGTGGTCCCTGCGAGAAGGCCGGCGGCGGCGGCTGGAACATCTGCTGCTGCTGCATGGGCTGCGGCGGCGGCTGCTGCTGCGGCGGACCTTGGTGGGGCGGAAAGCCCAGCGGTGGCCCATTGGGCGTGGCCATCGGCGGCGAGGTCATGAACGGCGGCTGAGGAGGCAGTGAACGCTGCTGCTGCTGAAATTGCTGAGGTTGTCCGGGAGCTAGACAAAAGAATGGGAATGATGGTAAAAGTGAAGATTAGATTTGGTGAATGATAATGACTAGTTAGACTGGTCAACTAAACGCCTTACCTGAATGTTCACTCGACACAGGACTAATGGCGGCAGCGAGTGGCGAGGTCACCACCGAGGAGGCCGCCGACGAGCGCCCATCAGAGGACAGAGGCTTCGGTTCGGCGCTGTCCAATCCAGTCGATTCAGACTTTCCAATCGGCTGCGCCTGAAGAGTGGCCACTGCAGGCGAGCCAGTGCGTGGCGGCTTGCTATTGTTGCTGCTGCTGCTGCTCAGCGGATCAAACTCCTTCGGTGGCGGCCCTTGATATTGCTTCTTTGCCTCGTCGGCGGAGATCTTCATCGCCTGCGTTGACTCGGTCAACTTCTGCTGCTGCTGCTGATCGACGACAGTTCCAGCATCGTCAGTAGCGGTGGCCACCATTGGCAGGGAATGGTCGAGCTTGTCGAGCAGCTCAATGCACCGATTGCGAATGCCTATCAGCTCATCGCGAATCACCTTCCGCTCGGTGACGCTCACCGAGGGCGTCTTCGCATTGACGAGCACCTTCAGCTTCAGCAGGCGGCTGCACTGGATGGCGAAGGCGATGTCATTGCCGTCGACGATGGACACCAGGTCGCCGTCCTCGTCGCGGTACTTCAGCTCAATCTCATCCGTCGGCGAGAGCTTGAAGAGGCGCACCATCATGATCAGCAGCTCATCGTAGGTGATCTCCTCATTGTGGATTGGCACCTTGCGAATGACGTCGCCGTACTCCGCCTTGATGATAATCTTGCCGGTCAGATCGGCAAAGTTGGCGAATTCGCCCTCGTTCACCGCCGTGAAGGAGGACGTCGAGTTGGTGGATGCCATCAGGGACCAGGTGGACGAATCGATGTCTGCTGAAGAAGAAAGGATGGATCAGTGAGCAGTGTTGATCAAGAGAAAGCGTGTCGATTGTGTGTATGTACAAAAACATGAAGTGTTGTTGTACAGCTTAAACTAGTACTCACTTGAAGCCAAGGTGGCTGCCGGGTGATGGACAGGCGGTGTGGTAGAGAGAAAGAGTTGTGAAGGTGTGAAGGAGCAGGGTGTGTGCTAATCAGAGGGAGTGAGGGAAGTGATGGGCGACCTGAAAACAGTTCAGATTTAGAAGAAGTGAAGAGGAAAACGGGCTGTCAGCAATGATGTGGTGACAGCAAGTCAAAATGACGTACCTAGAAATAGGTGAAGATGGTGGTGGTAATGGTGGTGATAGTGGTGACGATGACTGATGCAAAGAGTGAGAGAGGGGAAAGCAAATAAAAGAGAGAAAGAGAGAGAAACAGTTTGTTGCAAGTGGCAAACAGAGACTAACGAGTCGGATGATGCCGGTGAGTAAGCAAAGGCAGAGAGAGAGAGAGAGCGAGAGAGAGAGAGTGCGAAAAGCTGACGACGACTACAGCCGAGACTTTTCTACTGCAGGCTGCTGGCTCACTCTGTGTTTGCGATTGCCTGTGCTGCCGTTGCTGCTGTTTCTTCTGCTGTGTTTGTGCTGTTGCTGCCCAGCTCGAGTGACGACGTGTCCACAGTGCAGTACAGGCAACGCAAGCAGCCATCAGGCTATTTCCACAGACAGCGGCTTTGTTTCCNGCTGCCCAGCTCGAGTGACGACGTGTCCACAGTGCAGTACAGGCAACGCAAGCAGCAATCAGGCTATTTCTACAGACAGCGGCTTTGTTTCACTATCGCTATCGCTACTGCCACCTAAGTGGCAGCCGAAACTTTTGCAGCAGTTGCAAACTTGACCGACAGATAGAGACTGCAGCTTCTTCTTTTTTGACTGTATTTTTTTTGTTTTTGTAACATAGCAGTTTTAATTTGATTAAAAGATTAAAAGTAAACTGTGCACAAATATAACCAATTTTTCAAATATGTTTGTGTTTTTAACACACGAGAAAACAAAATTTTATTGTTTAGAGTAGTGATGAGTATTTACAATTAGAGTTGTGAAGTGTTGACAAACACCTGGGCAGGATGAAAGGGTACTGATTGGGAAGGAAAACATTACAAAAGAATACTGATTGATCAAAAGAGGAGAAAATAAACAAGAGAATTGTGTAGTGAATGGCTGTTTACACAAAATATTTTTGTAGGATGTATAGGAAGTTGATAGTGGTGCCTGTTTAGACAACAAATGCTATTATTGCACGGGAAAAACTTGATGAACAAAACTGCAATTAAAGTTACAACAAAAACTCTACAGTAAATTATGCTGCTTTGAGGAAAGTACAGAACTGGCAGGCCCAAGATGACTGCCCAGTGTAAACTCCCGTGGCAAAACTCCACCAGAAACAGAATTTGAATCGGCAGCTGCAGCTGCTGCAGCAGCTAACTGTGCCGACAACTGCGCAGCCAACTGTGGCATGGTCAGTGTTGGCTGTCTTCCATTGCCATTTCCGCTGCCATTTCCGGTCATCATTTGATGTCCACCACCACCAGCACCACCACTGTTTCCAGTCAAAGCTAGTGGAAAGGGCATCATGGGCATCATCAGCGGATTTGTGGCCGCAGCAGCAGCGGCGGCAGCCGCCGCCACTGCGGCAATGTTGCTTGCCAGAAAAGCTTTGCTCGAGTTGATGAAAGCTGAAGAGCTTCCAAATGGATGACTGGAGAACACTGGATGCTGCTGCTGTGAGTTTTGGTGATGATGATGAGGTGATTGTTGTTGTTGTTGGTGATGATGAGAAGGGTGAAAGTGAGGTTGACCCGGAAAAGAATACTCGCCAATGTTTCCTGCTGTTGCTCCAAAAAACTGCTGCGGATGGCAGGAGGCAGCAGCAGCATTAAGAAAGGAAAGTTTCGCTGCTGCCGAGCTGTTTTGTTGAGCTGAGTTTTGCTGCTGTTGCGCCTGCTGTGCTTGCTGATGTTGTTGATGCAGCAGCAGCTGCTGCTGTACCGAGTTGTACAGCGACTTGAGGGCGTCGAGGTTGTCGTTGACGCTGACGGTTTTACCGGAGGACGTTGAGTTGGCGGCAGATGATTTAACCGCCGTCACCGGTTTGACTGGTGAGGAAGAAGGTGTGTCCAGGTGGTGGTGACTGGAGCAAATGCTGTCCATTTGTTTGGCGGATAACTGCTGCTGCTGCAGTTGTTTCTGGTGATGATTATGTCCATTACCGAAAGTTGTTTTGCCTGATTGATTCTGATTTTGTTGCTGCTGCTGCTGATGATGAGGCTGAGGGTGATTTTGGTGGTGATAAAGATAGGGGTACTGATTTCCCGTCAGTTTACCCTGCTCAACGCCCTGTTTCTGAACAGCCTCAATTGAGCTGCTCTGTTCCAACCCGGCTTTAAAACTCAAAGTTGAGCCTTGCTTTTGCTGATGCCGACGATTACTTTCATTGTGTTGGGGGTGGCGGTGGTGGTGATTGCTTTTACCACCACTGTTTCCTGATTTTACTGGTGAACAAACCGGGGTGGTGGGCGTTAAGGCTGGCTCCGGAGAAGAGAGCGGTGACTCATCGCCGTGATCAGCATCGCCAGTGTGACTATCGGAGGAGTTGGCTTTGCTTCCCTCCTCGTGCAGCTTTCTTACGTGCTTTTTCAGGTCAAAGTTCCGACAGAAGCCTTTGCCGCAGGTGGCGCACTGAAAGGGCTTCTTGTCGTTGTGGGTGTGCTGCAATAAAAGAAAAAAGAATTTAAAAGGTGTTAAAAACGGTTGAAAAGGTTCATCAAAAACTAAAAGAATCTTACCAAATGAAAGGTGAGATTGTAAATCTGATGGAAGGCCTTTCCANGTGTTAAAAACGGTTGAAAAGGTTCATCAAAAACTAGAAGAATCTTACCAGATGAAAGGTGAGATTGTAAATCTGATGGAAGGCCTTCCCGCAGATCTCACACTTGAAGGCCTTCTCATTGTTGTGCGTCAGCTTGTGGTTTTTGTAGTTGCCCTTCTGGTGGAAGCCCTTGCCGCAAAATTCACACTGGTACGGTTTGTAGCCGGCGTGAATGCGCACGTGGGTGTTCAGCGTGGAGCTCCGATTGAAGGCCTTGCCGCAGTAGGCGCACTGATGCGGCTTCTCCGCCGTGTGGATGATCTTGTGGCGGCAGAGGGTTGAAGCCTGGCGAAAGCCCTTTCCGCAGACCTTGCAGACGAAGGGCCGGGCGCCGGTGTGCACCGGCATGTGCCGCGTCAGGTTGTAGTGGGCGTTGAAGACCTTGCCGCACTCCGGACAGGTGAAGGTCTTGTTGGTTGTTTGCTGGGCGGCTGCTGCTGATGCTGCCGCTGCTGATTGGCTGTTGACATTGTTGCTGTTTAACGTTGAAGAATGAGAGTTGTTGATAGAGGGNTAGGCGCACTGATGCGGCTTCTCCGCCGTGTGGATGATCTTGTGGCGGCAAAGGGTGGACGCCTGGCGAAAGCCCTTTCCGCAGACCTTGCAGACGAAGGGCCGGGCGCCGGTGTGCACCGGCATGTGTCGCGTCAGGTTGTAGTGGGCGTTGAAGACCTTGCCGCACTCCGGACAGGTGAAGGTCTTGTTGGTTGTTTGCTGGGCTGCTGCTGCTGATGCTGCCGATGATTGGTTGTTAACATTGTTGCTGTTCAATGTTGAAGAATGAGTGTTGTTGAAAGAGGAGGAAGAGGAGGAAGTGGTAAGCGAATTAGTTTGAGCAGGTTTTGCTGTGATGGTTGGTAAAGTGGTAGTTGAGTGCAATCTTTTCTCTTTTGACTGAGAAGTAGGTCGATTGTTGCCGTTGCTGTTGCTGTTGGCAGTAGAGTTGTTGCCCAGCTTGTAGAGCATCTCGTCGATGCTGAACTTGCTCTGGCCGGAACTCTTTCGATGGTTGTGGTGCATTGAAGTGGTGGTAGTTGTAGTGTTTGAAGTGGAGAAAGATGAAGTAGTGGAAGGTTGATAAGGTGTAGAAAGGGGTTTAAGTTGCTCGGCTGATGACGCTGCTGCTAAAGGGTAGCTATCTTTATAAAGCATAAAGAAGTTTTCAGATGAGGACTGGTGGTTGCTGTTTGCCGGAAGTGCTGGTGATGCGGATGGCAGGAGACTGCTGCTACTCTCAAAAGAAGACTTTTTGATTAGATTGTCAATGCTGAAGGGAAGTTGAGGCGACTGTCGGCGTGAAGGTGAGTGAGCGTGATGAAGTGGACTACTGCCATCACCACCACCCCCATTGCCTGACTCATCTGAGGAGTGATGAGGATCGCCCTCGATGATGCCCACCACGTCAATGTCCTCGTTCTCCTCCATCATGTTCTCATCATCATCGTCTTCTTCATCATCATGATCCAGCGCCTCATCGTTTCCATTTTCATCATCCTCTTCCTCGCTATCTTCAATGTCCTCCTCTTCTTCCACTTCCTCATCTCCTTCAATGTTAATGCTTTTATGATCTTTTTGATCATTGTCATCATCATCATCATCATCACTTCCGTTCACTCCCGAACTGCTGCTGCTGCTGTTCACCATCGACCTAGGCCAGTCGTTATCGTCCTCGACGTCTTCTTCCTTTTCCAAACGGACTGCTTCAAAAGATTGATTTTTAGTCTCATTGACCAACTCAGCTTTTTCCTGATCAAACACAGTCCTGGTCATCACCAAACTCTGCTCAACCTTTTCCTCTTCTTGCTTCTTTTCCATTTCACTAATTTTTAAGTAAATGGTTGTTTGCTTATCAGATGCACTGCTGGTGGGCGCTAGTTTGCAATCGGCAACGGCGGTCGTCATAACTGACAAGGTTTCAACAGGTCTACAAGTATGTAGAAATGGAAAAATCATTGTTAGAGTTGATAGTTTTCAAGTTCTCTGTTTCTATGCCTGTCAAACAAGTTCGGAAGAAAAAATAACTGATGAGCTAGAGCAATTTATCACTGACTTTTA